TAAACTTAAAGCTCACTAATGCAATGACCCAATCCACAAATTCAAGGATCATAATCCGAGTATAGAATGACAAGAAGTGATAGATTAAACCAAATCCCAGTGACAGACATTATTCATTGAATCAGATTATTAAAAAAGCAACTTGCAATCACCAACTACTAAACAATGAAGTATACTTGTATCAACCCAATGGCCAATCCTCACATAAATTGCTAAGGTTCCAATAAGTCCAACATTGATTCCCTCATATGTCTCAATTGGGAAAATGCGCCATAATTATCTCATATACGAAAACTAGCACTTCATAATATTAAATGAATCAGATTATAAGAACACGAATTGCTGTCACCAACTACTAAACAATGGCGCATATATACTAGCATTACCCCACCCATATCCCAAATTCAACTAGTTCCAACAATTCGAGAAAATCCAATGTCATTATCAACCAACAGATCCAGAGACTAAAACACAGTAAAATATTAAAAATAAAAAATTACAGAGATCACAGGGTGAAACAATGTACCTCCAGAGACAAATAGTGGCTGGGATTTGTGAAAATGGACGCCACGAACAGGACCATCATGCTCGTCAAAGCGATCAATGAGAGTGCCTATGCGATAATCCCAGAGCTGGATCACGCCGCTGTGAAGACTCGCCAGAATCCATGGCCTCTTACTGTGGAAACTCAATCCCTTAACTCTATTACTCTTCGTCTCAAACTTCGTCAGCATTTTAGAATTCCCTAAATCATACACATATATAAAGAACGCTGAGATCTGAATTTAATCAAACAATTTCAAACCCGAATTAATCCGATTTGGTTTATAGATCTAAGATAATTTTGTGTGGATTGGGAGAGAAATTGAAACAGAATTCAATTCAGTACGTTTGTTTGTGTTGGTGGTCGAGAATTTGGATCCGGGTACAGGGGAATAACGGGTTCGGGCTTCGTTTTATACTGAAGCGGTTCTTCTCAAGTCAAAGGAATTGGATGGAATTACTTTTGTGACCCTATGACATATCTTCTGTGTTTTGATTGGATGGGTTACGATATGTCTAGCGTGCTTGTAAGTTACGATTTGCCATACTTTTTCCATCCGCGTAAATAATTGCTTGATTTGAATCTAGTGAAAATGTGTTCGAACCATCTGATTTTGATAAAAAGTCAAAATTTAAGAGTCAAAATAATTAAGTACCTTTTGGAAGGAAAAATATATTTTAAAATCAGGAAAATATTTGAATTTACGGATAATATTACTTTATTAGAAAATGTCTTGTTATTTTTTTCTAAAATGGAGCTAAATTAAGCTACTATTTTGTAAGAATTAAAATAATATTTTTAGTAGATTTTAATAAAAGTTGATAAGATGTGCAGTTGAAAAATTATGGATTTCAATCCCATAAAATATGTGGTTAAAATTAATTGTTAAATTTGATTTAAATTAAAATCTGAATTTTAATTTTTAATAAACATGGGCTAAAATTTCGTTTATAATTTGATAGCCAAACAACTGTTTATAAAGCATTCGAGAGATTAATACTTTGGAATGAAGAAAGTTCAATAGCCTTTTGGGCACCAAAGGCTGCCATGAAAAGTAATACTTTGGAACGAAGAAAGTTCAATAGCCATGACATGTCCAATACGTATGACTCTACGTACAATTTTTTTCCTTTTCGAGTATTTTTCCCTTTGATAGCCACAACATGTCCAAAAATTTTCTCCACTAAGAGTATTTTTTATTGTGCTTTAAAGTTATTTTTCTAGTATTTTTTATTGTGCTTTAAAGTTATTTTTCTAGTAAGTTTTGTCGGTAAAAATAGTAATTTGAAGAAACGTGTTCGAAAAAAAATGACTTAATTTTAAGCATATACCCAATAAATTCCACTTGTGGATTGAACTTGCAAAAACAAAATAATGACAATACAAACAATGGCTTCACAAATCAAATCTGGTACACAATGTATGGGATTGTGAGGTTAGAGAAACCAAACAATTCATTTTATGTAAGAAGTTGAAATTGTTAAAGGGTGAATTGAGGAGATTCAATGAAAAACATTTCGCTCATATATCTTCTAGGGCTAGCATGGCTACATCTAAGCTGAAAGAAGCTCAACTGGAGCTACATGATGATCCATGTAATGAGGATCTACAATGTAAAGTGGCCAATTTGAGGAAGAAGGCAAGGGACTTCGGTGAAGCGGAAAGGAGTTTTTACTCCCAAAAAGCTAAATGTGAGTACCTTATTAAAAGTGATAAGTGTACTTAATTTTTCCACTCAACAGTTCAAAGAAATGCTAAAAGGAACTTTATTGCTAAAATCTCAAAGGAGGATGGTACCTATACTTCATCTTTGAATGAAGTTGCTGAGAAATTTGTTAAATTCTATAGTGATATTATGGGGAAAGAAAGGCCAGGAACATCAATCTGTGATGATATCTTGAGGGGTGGATCTAGGCTTTCGAAGGAGAATGCTTTAACTTTGATTAAAGACATTTCGGAGAATGAAATTAAGGATGCCTTATTCTCTATTGGAGATGACAAATCGTCGGGGCTGGATGGTTATTCTTCTTGATTTTTCAAAAAAGTATGGAACATTGTTGGTAAAGACTTTATGGAGGCGGTGTTGGAATTCTTCAATGCTAGCAAACTACTCGAGCAAACTAATCACACGGTTGTTGCTTTGGTTCCAAAGGAAAATCACTCTAGCTCCGTTGGGGATTATAGGCCCATTGCTTGTTGTAATGTTCTTTATAAGGTTATCACCAAGATCATTGATCAAGCTCAAGCCGCTTTTGTGGAGGGAAGAAGTATGGTGAAAAATATTCATCTTGCTCAAGAACTTCTTAGGCAATATAACCGCAAGAGGGTGGCCCCTAGATGCCTTCTTAAGGTTGACCTTAGAAAGTCCTATGACTCGATGAATTGGGAGTTCCTTTGTAATGTTCTTGAGGGACTTGGTTTCCCAACAAAGTTTATTGGATGGATAATGGAATGCATCTCAACACCTACATATTCCATTGGGCTAAATGGTGGGCTTTATGGTTACATTAAAGGAAAAAGGGGGTCTTTGTCAAGGTGATCCTCTTTCCCCTTTTTTGTTTGTGATTTGCCTTGAATATTTCTCAAGGATGCTTAAGAATGTGACGGAGGATAGTGAATTCAATTATCACCCAAAATGTGGTCCTTTGAAGATTACTCATCTAGTGTTTGCCGATGATTTGATGTTTTTTGCAAGAGGGGATCCTATCTCAGTTGGCATTATGATGGAGTGTTTGAATAAATTTGGGGACATGTCGGGACTTCGGATGAATGTAAGTAAGTCCAACTTGTATACGGCGGGAGTGCATGGGCAAGAATTGGAGGATATTTACCAAACAACCAACAAGACTAAGGGATCTATGCCATTTAGGTATTTGGGAATTCCACTTGCGGCGGAAAAATTGAAGGTTAGTTCTTATGACTTGTTCATCAATAAAATTTCAGGATACATTGGAGCTTGGTCTAGGGCCACTCTATCCTATCCGGGAAGGGCAGAACTTATTAGGGCGGTACTCCAAGGAGTGGAATGTTTTTGGCTTTTTATCCTTCCTATTTCATCAACGGTGGTCTCTAAAATTGTTGCTATTTGTCGGAACTTCTTGTGGGGTTCCAAAAAACCATTGGTTGCATGGAGTAATGTATACTTACCAAAAAGTGAGGGGGGCCTTGGTTTTCGAGATATTAAGTGTTGGAACCTTGCACTTTTGGCTAAAACTCTATGGAATATCCAATGCAAAAAGGATACCTTGTGGGTAAGGTGGATTAATCATGTCTTCCTACATGATTGCAATATTTGGGAGTATATGGGAAGAAAGGGTGATTCACCATTGATCAAAAAACTATTGGAATTAAAGGGGCAGATTACTATGTCTGGGGAAAATAATGTTGATGAGCAGAAACTATAGGAAAATGGGGGGATCAATGCACGCACACAGGCTGAGCCCCACATTAATGGGCAGAACGAAATCAGCCTTCGGCAGCCTCTGAATGCACGTGAACAGCCTCATGTCCGAAATGCACAAATGCAAATTCGGACAGGGCAGTTTCGGCTGAACAACTGGGGAAATTCTGGTAGGTTCAGTATCAAAGAAGCATATGATTTTTTTCAGAAAGAACAAAAGAGCATGGGCAGGTACAATGTGGAATTCTGCGATGACTCCCAAACATGCATTCATTTTATGGCTTGCTGCACAGTCAGATATAAACTGTTGTTTTGGTAATGATGTTGTGGAAACGGAACAACACATTTTCTTTGCTCGTCACTTTACTGCCTCGGTGTGGGAACAAATTCGAGGATGGCTTGGGATTAGACGTTCCATGTCTACACTCCCAAGTGCCTTGAAGTGGATGATAAAAGAAGCAAGGGGAACGACATGGCACAATAAGGTAAAGAAGATCGCACTTGCAAGTACCGTTTACCATTTATGGACAGCAAGGAATAGGAAAATTTTTGAAGGTCTTAACTCACAAGTTGCTAGCGTGGTTAGACGGATTAAAACACACATATACAAAGTTTTGTTTAATTTGTATCCGCATGTTTTAGTTCTTTATGAGTCTTTAGCGCTTGCTATGTAACAGTGAACTGTTTTCCCTTTGTTTTGCCAAGTATGCTTGGTATTTGATGTTTTTGGTACTTTGTTCCATTGTTGTTTGTTTCTCACCTAGGAATGCCCGGTGTATGTGTATACAAGCTTTGATCAATATAATTAATTATTTACCGATCAAAAAAAAATCTAGTTCTCGCAAGACACCACATTATATATAGTACTCAAAAACAAATTTATTAAGGGGGGAGAACTATAATCCATCTACATCTATCATCAGTACATATCAATATCTAACTTATGGCCTGGCATTGCCACACACACATAAAGCTCAAAATTAAGAAACTCTGTCGTAGTCCAACAACCATTTCATACCACGAAACAAACAGCAATCTCGAGCTAAATGCCCTCATCTAATCTGCTCTTGACTGACCAGCACGAGAAGAGAGAATAATGCCGACAATTAGACCATAAAGAGCCAAAGCTTCGGCAAAAATGAGAATAAGAATCATTCCAACAAAGAGCTTTGGCTGTTGTGCGTTGGCTCTGTAGAAGAGAGGAATAAAGTCAAGTAATTAATATGATATTATGATGTCTACTAAAGAAATGATCACATAATAAAAAAAATAATGAAGCCAATAATTTCTTGAAATACTTGAAGCAGACAATGCATCAATAAATTATAGCTAAGAAGGAACCCCAACTGATGAAAAAATCGGGAAATCAGAATGGAAAAATTACAGATGCCAAACTGGAATTACACAACAGAGGAAGTAAACAGAAAAGGGGATCCCACGAGCTTCCATGATGCAGATGATGGAGAACCAACGTATCTATCAATCTGTATCATTTAGATGATGAAAAGAGTACGAGAGAGTTGGTTGCATTTTTCCTCTTTAACAGAAATAGTTGTCGAAAACACCTTCAGTACAAAAATAACATTTAGCTTACTACTTTCATACAATCAGCTACTTGTAAATTCTAAGTCTACCACTTTCATTCAATTCACTGGTCAATTTTCTTCCAAGTTCCTCACGAATAAAAGCATACAGAAAATGTCTTATGCATTGCACCAGGCATCATGCAAGGAGTTCATTTAAAACATCAAAGCTTATGTGTTGATTGTACTCTGTGAAGCATTGTACATTGAACTATTGGGGCAAAAGCCTCGTAGCATAATCCTGAAGGGTTTAAGCCATGTGCACCTTCATCTTGCTCCTCAGTTGTTTCTTAAGAACCGCTCTTTTGGGGTGTTTTAAGAGTTGGTTTTTTTTATTTTAATTACAATCTAACTCTAAAACTAAAAGAACAAAATTTGTAATTAGACAAGTGAAGAGCTGAAGCATGCTCTAGCCCTCTACTCCTACATCCAAAGCGTGATCCACTTAAAGATGAAGCACAACATTTAACAACCAGTGATTATGCAACGTCACAAGTAACTTTACACTAGTTCTCTTTCTTGTATATTAATCTTGTTGGTGTTGTGTCATCTTTTCAATAGATTTTCTTTCTCTTTTTTTCTTTTTTTTTTTTTTGGTCAATGCAAGCAAAATTCATAAATAGCTTGTGAGTTCAGTCATGTCTTATACTTAGAGTTCTAACCATGATTAGCACCCTTGTTGCGTGATTAATAATTTTTAAATTTGTTATCTGCTTCTTTTAATCCACGTTACATTACTAGTTATAACTTAGCTCCTATTTGGTACACATTCTTTTAAAACACATTATTTCAAAACTCATTTTCAACCACACATTCTTCAATAAAATAATATTTTCACCGTATCAATAATTTTTCCTCACTTTTTAACCACATATTTTTCATCATATCACTATTTAAAATACATTCTTTTCTCAATAATACCCATCAAACACACCTTTAGACTTTTATTTTGTAGAAATGTTTATTATCGACATTCTAAATGGTTCATAGATAAACTGATTTATGCATATTCAAAATTCACTTAATCAATATAAAGATGAACGGAATTATATTATATTAATTATCTCATTAAGAAGAAAAATCATTTAAAAATGTACTTGGAACAATCGAATCATAAGTATCTCATGAATCAAAACTAATTTTGTTTCGTCTATACTTGCAAGCATCAAATCAAGTGTCTTAGCTGGTCTAATGCTTATACTAAGACAACATATATCTATGTTGACAGCAGATCTAAATGAATACACATTGCGCCGCTCTATTAGCTTATAAACGGTTATCATGATTTCATAGCAAGGTGAAAGACTGATTCTCACTGACACCCATTTATGAACAATTATGCACATGTATGGCCTTTAATCAACAAATCAATCAACTAGACAAAATTCAGATGCATACACTGATATCTTTTCTACCAGGTAAATCAATCGACAATCATTGTGGTGCCTGAAAAATCGAATATGAACGTATTGAGAAGACAAGAGAAGCTCACCTAACACCAGCATCCCCGACAATTCCGATGGCCATGCCGGCAGACAGGCCAGCGTGCGAGGCCACAAGCCAGACCGGACGAAAGGTGAGCGTAGCCATCAAACAAGTAATAAGACTTGGCTTTAGGGTTAATTCCGGTACTAATGATCACAGCAATAATCAATCCATAAATACCTAAAACACCAGCCATAACCACAGGCACAATGGACTTCATCACCAGCTCCGGACGCATCACTCCCATCGACGCCACTCCGACGCCGCTCTTCGCCGTGCCGTAAGCCGCCCCCATACCTACAACAAAGAATAACCAAAAAAAAAAACAGATAGTTACAAGAAATTACTATTACAGCCTTAGATCTGGAAGGGGAAGGAATGGATCGGTGAGGTTACAGGAGAATACTAGCGCGGCCGCAGCGCCGAGGAAGCCGAAAAACGGTGCCGTTTCATCGCCGCTAAACGTTGCCGACATCTTACGGGTCGGATATACAAAAATCGGATCTGAATGATTTTTATTTATTTTTTTGCGTGTGAGAGAGAGAGAGAGATGAGCCGTTTGATTAAGACGCTTGTCTTATGAAATTCGTGACCGTCTTGGGGCCTTTATTGATTACAAAATTGGATAAAAAGAGGTTGGATTTTATAATTATTGTAGCACAAATTATGCCAAGTTTAAAAATGAGATTTTTTAATATTTTTTTATAAAAGTTAATGAAAGATGATAAAAATTATGGGTTTCATACAATATATGATTGAAAATAAACATGAAAAAAAATTTAGAAAATTGAGCCAAACAGATTAGTTCCAACAAAAAGTATGGACTTAATTGCATAAATAATAATAATACAGGAACTATACAAAAAATGACAAAATAGATACCGAGATTTTGATTAGAATAAGACCTAGCCCTACCGAAGAAGATACGAGGAAGAATACTGAAGAACATACGAGGATTGGAATCTTGAATAATGGAAATAAATATTCAAGATTCAAGAAAGGATCGAAGCATTTTTTTTGTTCAGGTAAGAATTCAAGATTCAAGTTTGATCACACGTATAATTCCACGATCTTTGTGTGATTAATTATTTTTTGACGTGAATCTAATTATTTGGTAAAGATCTTGGGTCAAATTTTGTGAAAATGTGAAAAAAATTATTGTCTAATTGTATTTATTATTCCTACACCAATAAGAGTTTAGAGTGGCGAAACGACGGGTCTTGATTCCATTGTAACAAAGGTTTAAAGAGTTGAACAATGAGTGGTTTACATTTTTGTAATTCGGTTTAAATTTGGTTTAAGATCATTAAGTTGGATAAATTTTTCTTTCATTTCTTTTTCGAAAATGTTAAAGACATAATTCATTCTCAAGATGTTTTGATCGTAAAATGGTAAACACACGAGACTCGAAATCTCGTGTTAAAGAGCATGAAAGTTCAAGTCTTTTTCGAGACTTAATATTGAGAATGCTCACCGAACGAACAATTCGATAAAAGAAATCGATTGAATCAATATAATTTTAGCTAAATTATAATCGTAGGTATTGAAAACAACAGAATGATTCTTTACGTAAGAAAATCTAACCTTTATTGATTCCAACAACTAGTTGCTCGAACGCAATCTATTTGGACCATGTCCAGCTATGTTCCTTCTTCTAAACTTTAATGTCACCAATTCCTAATTACCAACACTGCATTTAAAGATGTACTATTAATTCTTTTGGCGTTTATCATATAAGCTTCACTTTGTCAGGTCAATATGTGCACGTGAAACCCTAGTGTGTTATAGGTAACACCCTATCCAGTGTTCACAACATTAAATGGTTGTTCGAGCCCATTTATTTCAAAAAAAATGCATTTTGTAATAGCTTTATAATAGAAAATGTGTAGTTAGAAAATAAAGAAAAAAATTTAATTGGTGTTTAATATTATTTTATTAAAAAGTGTACGATTGAAATGGAATCTAATCACTGTAAAAGAATAAATTTTCATAGAAAAAACGAGGCTAAAAAAGGGCTAAAGACGTTCAAACATATATATTGGCTTTTCTCGAGCGAATTTGATTAATATTCGCGAAATTCCCATTATTTTTTGTTTTAAATGGTAATTAATTTTTGGAATACTCTCACGAAACTTAGCTAGACCATTGAATAACAAAAAGTAATAATTACATAAACGGTTCCGATCTTTCAACTTGTTGCAGCTTTATTTTATCTTTTCATTTAGAATAGTGCTACTTGCAGTCGTTCACTACATCAGTCGTCATATGTGGTATACACATGTCAAGTGTGTATTTGATGTATCAAATGTGGTCAAAAAAGACCACATTAATGTATCAAATAACTACATATTATGTGTGTGCCACATAGGACAACTGCAAGTAGCATTACTCTTTCATTTAGAGCTTGTTTGGTATGGATTTTTTGGAGGAAGAATTGATTTTGAATAGTGATATGATGGGGAAATGTGTAGGAATCTTGAATAATGGAAATAAATGTTCAAGATTCAAGAAAGGATCGAAGCATTTTTTTGTTCAGGTAAAGATTCAAGATTCAAGTTTGATCACACATATAATTCCACGATCTTTGTGTGATTAATTATTTTTTGACGTGAATCTAATTATTTAGTAAAGATCTTGGGTCAAGTTTTGTGAAAATGTAAAAAAAAAATTATTGTCTAATTGTATTTATTATTCCTACACCAATAAGAGTTTAGAGTGGCGAAACAAGGGGTCTTGATTCCATTGTAACAAAGGTTTAAAGAGTTGAACAATGAGTGATTTACATTTTTGTAATTCGGTTTAAATTTGGTTTAAGATCATTAAGTTGGATAAATTTTTCTTTCATTTCTTTTTCGAAAATGTGAAAGACATAATTCATTCTCAAGATGTTTTGATCGTGAAATGGTAAACACACGAGACTCGAAATCTCGTGTTAAAGAGTATGAAAGTTCAAGTCTTTTTCGAGACTTAATATTGAGAATGCTCACCGAACGAACAATTCGATAAAAGAAATCGATTGAATCAATATAATTTTAGCTAAATTATAATCGTAAATCATTTTGAAGTGGTATTGAAAACAACATAATGATTCTTTACGTAAGAAAATCGAACATTTATTGATTCCAACAACTAGTTGCGCGAACGCAATCTATTTGGACCATGTCCAGCTATGTTCCTTCTTCTAAACTTTAATGTCACCAATTCTTTTGGTGTTTATATAAGCTCCACTTTGTCAGGTCAATACGTGCACATGAAACCCTAGTGTGTTATAGGTAACACCCTATCCAGTGTTCACAACATTAAATGGTTGTTCGAGCCCATTTATTTCAAAAAAAAAAAATGCATTATGTAATAGCGTTATAATGGAAAATGTGTAGTTAGAAAATAAAAAAAAAAATTAATTTGTGTTTAATATTATTTTATTAAAAGTGTACGATTGAAATGGAATCTAATCACTGTAAAAGAATAAATTTTCATAGAAAAAATGAGGCTAAAAAAAGGGCTAAAGACGTTCAAACACGACATTAAAATGCCTATATATTTTGGCTTTTCTCGAGCAAATTTGATTAATATTCTCGAAATTCCCATTATTCTTTGTTTTAAATGGTAATTAATTTTTGGAATGCTCTCACGAAACTTAACCCCAGTTTGACATCTATTCTCTTCTCATTCTCTTTCTCATTTTTTTTTTCTCTTTTTTCATTTCAACGACACATTCTATCAATAAAATAATATTACACATAAACCCAAAAATTATTCTTACTTTTTAACCACACATTCTTTCCATCAATTACTATTCCAAAATTTATTCTTCTCCAAAATGGGTGTCAAACACACCCTTAGCTAGACCATTGAATAACAAAAAGTAATAATTACAGAAATGGTTCCGATCTTTCGACTTGTTGCAGCTTTATTTTATCTTTTCATTTATTGCAATCGCAATATCAAATATTTTACATGTGTGCCCGACGGTTAGTTAACCATGAAAATGATTTTGACAAATGAACGATTAAATTTTTAAAAAAAATGCAACAAATTGAAACATTTTGAACTGTGAGTCTGTGACTATAAAGGTTCCTAAAAAGAACGGCACCGAAAGAAGAAACAAAAATGGAAATACCTTAGTAAAAACATCAATTTCAACGCGCTCTGGTTGCGTGTGGTTTTTGCTGCTGAACCCCACTGTCAGAAGGATTTATAACCTCACCCCCTTCACAGCTTCACCACTAACATCCAAAGCAAAATGCATCACATCAATCCATCTTTTATTCCCCCCCTTCTTCTCCGGCAGCTCCTAATAGTCCTGTTGTTACCATGCCACCGGATAATATTCACACGCGCCGCTGTGGATAAGTGGGACCTACTCCAATCCAACATTGGCATATCTGCCATGCACATGCAACTCCTCAACAACGACAAAGTAATCATTTTCGATCGGACAGATTTTGGGGCATCAAACATTTCATTGCCCAATGGAAAGTGCAGGAACGACCAAAACGACACCGCTTTGAAACATGACTGCACTGCTCATTCTGTCGAATACGACGTGGCTTTAAACTCAATCCGCCCCCTGATGGTCCTCACCGACGTCTGGTGCTCCTCAGCCGCCGTCATGCCGGACGGAGTTTTGGTACAAACCGGTGGCTTCAACGACGGCGACCATGTCGTTAGAATATTTAGACCCTGTAATGATGGTTCTTGTGATTGGCAGGAAATAAAAAACGGCCTCGCGCAGAGAAGATGGTACGCCACCAATCATATTCTGCCAGACGGCCGGCAAATTATAATCGGCGGCCGGCGACAGTTCAATTATGAATTTTACCCTAAAAAATCATTGGCCGAGAAAGCATATAATTTGCCGTTCCTGGTGCAGACAAATGATCCAAAAATTGAAAACAATTTGTATCCGTTTGTGTTTCTGAATGTGGATGGAAATTTGTTTATTTTCGCGAATAATCGAGCTATATTGTTCGACTACACGAAGGGAGTAGTGGTGAGAACTTATCCCGCCGTGCCCGGCGGCGATCCTCGGAGTTACCCTAGTACAGGTTCTGCAGTTTTACTTCCATTGAAGAACTTACAAGGAGAAGCTATTGGTGCTGACGTGTTGGTGTGTGGTGGTGCACCAAAGGGAGCATACATTAATGCCGTAAATGGTAATTTTGTTGGGGCCCTCAATACATGCGGAAGAATTAGTATAACTAACTCTAATCCTATCTGGGTAATGGAGACGATGCCTCTAGCTAGGGTAATGGGTGACATGGTATTACTTCCGAATGGCAATGTCTTGATCATCAATGGAGCATCTAAGGGTACGGCAGGTTGGGAACTGGGTCGAGATCAAGTCTTATCACCTGTTATTTATCAACCTGAGAAAAAAATTGGGTCTAGATTTGAGGTTCAAAACCCAAGCTCCATACCTAGGATGTATCACTCCACCGCGATTTTACTTCGTGATGGTCGGGTGCTTGTTGGTGGTAGCAATCCCCATATTTATTACAATTTTACTGGAGTATCTTTTCCAACAGATTTAACATTGGAAGCATTTTCGCCAGCATATTTGGATCCAAACTCTGCGAATATGCGCCCACGAATAGTTTCACCAGTTTCACATACCACAATTGGGTATAGACAACTACTAGTTGTTCAATTTACTCTTTCGGGCGTGCTAAATAAAGATTTGGTCACAGTAACTATGGTCGCACCCTCATTTACTACACATTCATTTGCAATGAATCAACGGCTACTTGTGCTCTCTGGGAATGTGACGATTGTGGGAACATCCTCGTACCAAGTTCAGGTTTTGACACCAAGTTTGGTCAATCTTGCACCACGCGGATACTATCTTTTATTCGTGGTCCATCGAGATATTCCGAGTGAAGGCATTTGGGTCCAAATCAAGTAAAAAATTCCACTGACATTCTTGTGAAGATAGTATATGATTCTTGTGGAATATGTCCAAATCAAGATTCTTCAACAGATTATGATTATTAACTATTTTATTGAATAAGATTTGAAAAATATATTGTTTTTTGAACCATTGTCAATTACTTCACGAAATGTAAGATGGGACATGTGATGTCTGCATTTGTTTGTATGACAACATTAGTTGAAATCGGATAATGTATAACACTCTCGTAATATTTAAAAATGAATAAAATTAAATATTTATCGTTTATTCCATCACAAATATTTATGTTATTCCATCGTAGCTAAGAAATTAGAGCATAAATGCTGCCTTGCATATATTCTAGGACGGAGATGGTTGGATAGTAATACAGAATTACATTACTATTACTCATACAAACAATATTTGATTAAACATTCTAATTTAGTCCTTCTAGAGACTGTCTGATCAAAATTTTTACTTGTGTCGATTTAGTCCATCGAGTTGCTTAAGAATACTCAGAAGCAATTGATGTCAAGTTAACAAGTATTGGTCAATCGATCATTGCTTTCTTCTGTTATGTCTTAGGTAATATGTAGTCCAGCGTGCGTTGATCATTTCACGTGTCATCTAGATCTATTTGAATATTCTAAACTTTACGCAGAGAGAAATTTTTTTATCTTTCCATAAAAAGAGAGTATAACATAATGGATAATCAATCAAATCGTCAAAAGTTTAAGACAAAAGGTGTCAATTTTAATCACACTTTATTCCTTCCTTTTCCAAGTTGTATGTAAAGGCCAATTTTTATTAAGACATGGTTTGTGACTATTTTGATCAATCCATCATCCATCATTACCTTTTTTTTTCCCGGTTGTGTGAGGAAGTCGAGTCTCAATTAGTTTCTTTCATCTCTTCATGCACACCATGTGTTGTCTTTGAGATAAAATTGAGTAGTTTCAGTCTCTTTATATACATCATGTGTCAGCTTAAAGATCCACTCGATTTATACCGTCCATATAGAAAAAATTCAAACTCTTTTTTTATATATATGTTTTCAATGAAAAAGAAAGAGCGAGTCATAATAGAATGTGAATTGAGAAATAAATGCAAAAATAGTCAATTTTAACCCACACTTACATTCCTTTTTGTTGCTTGCAAGAAAATGCTCCCGTGACTTGTTGCCAATGTGTTGATATTTCAATTTCGTAAACGTCCAAGTACCTTTCCAAGTTGTTGTAAAGGACCATTTTTAATAATGAGATGTTACCTAGCCACATAGATATGTATATCCAAGAAAGTATCACGGACGTTTAATCACTTTTTGTTGCATAAGTTACAATGTTCATTTATGAAAGTTTAAAATTATTTAGACCCACGTTCGGAATTATAGAATTAAAAGTAACAAGTCACTTTTTAATTGTTTTTAAATGGTTAGATCAAATATGTCAATTTATCCCAAATTTGAAAACAATCAATAATTAAAGTAATAAAGAACACCAAAGGTGATTATGGAGAAGCTTCAACTAGATAAAAATTCTAGACGCTTTACCCGTTAATAATTCACTATAAATCGAAACAAACTTATAATATAGTCCAGACTCGCCTACCCTATAGAACTCATGACCTCAATTCTTGCAATTCTCTTGATCCTACTGAAAGTGTGCTCCTTCAAAACAAATCTAGACTCCTGATTTATACTTTAACCCTCTTGGACTGCGTGCTCCAACGTCACATCCAGACTTCGGTACCTCACCTTAGTCCTTCTAAATTTGTACTTCTGCAACAGCTCCCGATCCCGATATCGATTTATCTCTGGTGGATTAGGAAGTTAGGTTTTTTATCAAAAAATCTTGTGTGTTTTGATCTGTGATTTTATATGAAATAATACGACTTGATCAACAAAATATAATTTGAATGAATTTATGGATCAAGTAATATGTGATGGTTGAATCTTGGAATCAACGAATTTTTTTAATTTTCAAATGAATGATATCTGTGAAATAAATATGATTCAACACACTTTTGGACATTTATAGGGTGGGATATATATATAGGGAAAAAAAGTGTTTGGGGATGAAAAGGGATTGAAAAACTAAATGTTTGAAGCAAAACAGATTTCGGAATGTCAACTCGTCGCTCGAGCGCCAAGCTAGCGACAGGCAAGCAGCAGTCGTCAGTATTTTTATCATAACTTTCTCTCCCAACATTCGATTAATGTGATTCAAAATACGTTGAAAAACTAACTCAAATGGTTACAATTCTTTTAGAAGTAGTCTTATCCGAATTCCAATATTTTCTATGTGAAAAATCCGTTGCAATTTGTGACGAGAATTTGGAGCATAACTTGTACGACTCTTTGACACTCCTTAGACTTCTAATTGTATTTCCTTGATCGTATGTAATCTTCTTGGACATTTCAGACTCCTTCAAGGACTATACTACCAACCCCAACTGTTTTGACTTTAATTATGACTCAATAACTCATATTTTGACTTTGATTACAATTAGATAAACTTCTAATACAATTCAACTAGGAGTTGATTTTGACTAAGAAAAATTGCCATTACAATTTGGACTTAACAATTTATTTATGAAACTTTAATTTGTCGCATATTGATTACATAATTTTCAATCCTAGTTCAATTTAGTCATTCCTTTTTCATTTTTCCTTTTGTTAAGTTAATAAACAAGCTCATGTGACGATCACCACAGATCTAGGGGGTTGAAACGGGCTATAAACCAGAGCAGTCGAAAAACTAAGACCTATATCTAAAAAATTTAGCACACCCGGCCCTTCCAAAATAATTTTTTAGTTCTGCCCGCGGTGACGATGGCAGCGATGACAAGATAACAACGGCAAGAAGATCACGATTTTTAGTTTTCTATATTCTTTTCTTTTCGATAAAAGCGCAATTCAAAAGCAAGAATGATCCAACGGCACACATATTTCTTGCCGCATTATATTTTGTGTTAGTCACGTCAGAAACTCTGTTAATTTAGTAGACGAAGCACTTAAATTAAAACAAAATGCTTAGTATACAAAAAGATTTTTCAAAAGATACCAATGTTGCATGGATGCACGGGAGAGGGAAAGTAATGGGTTGTGGCGGCGGAGGTGGTAACCACCTCCCCACGGAGGAGAGTTGGACAGTAATTGGAGTTTATCGCTCACGGGTCACCTATGGCTGCAGATTTACTAGGTCACGGGTCTCCCTCTAAACATATATTTTCATATTGATAGCATATACAAATCGAGATAAGAACAACGTTTGATGTAAGAGATAAATACAAGATCAAAAGTAACGTTAGATGCACTCACAAAGAAGATAGATACACGTACGAGTAAAAAAGAGTATGTACAAATTTTTTGATCAATACATATTTACATTTACCGAAAAAAAAAAAAGAGTACTTATAAATAAATTATTTTTATTCATTAAAATTGAAAATTAATAAGTTACATATTTTGATAGTGTAGTAAGTTATTCTCGATGTTATTTTTACAAGAGAAAAATTATTCTTGAAGTAATTTACTTAAAAAATAAAATAAAGTGAGTTATGTAAATATGTCTTAACCTTCGAGTGGCTACTCCATCACGATTATCCACGAGTCTAGCCTAAATAACCAAAGAAGCCAAGCATGCTCTACATTGATTAGTGACTCTCGATTTAATTTTGATGGTAATTTCACTTTCAATCTTCATATAATTTAGGGGATGTTTGACAAAAAATTTGATATAAGTATTACAGATTTTGATAAACGTTGATAAAATGTGTAATTAAAAAAATTGATAAAAGTTGCGTATCCCATAAAACATATGGTTAAACTCAAACTTAATTGTGGACTTTGACCTCAACTTTTTAGCAACTTACTAATATTACCCCCAAGAATCACTAAATGGGATGCCTATAGATAGGTTGGTAAAATGTTTCCAATTTTGTGAATTGTTCCGTAACAAACATATCATAAGCCTCTGTTTGAGTCATATTAAAATTTTCATTATCATTTTTCTACTCATTTTCAACCACACATTCTTCAATAAAATAATATTTTTCATCACTTCAATAACTTTTCCTTTTTTTTTCAACCACACATTATTTATCAATCTACTATTCTAAAATACATTCTTTCAAAATAATGTGGCTCAAACATACTGTAACAACATAAAGTATAAACTCGATCGATCTGGTTGAGTCAAATTTGTCAACATAAAAGTTCCTTGTTAGAATATGCCCGGATGAATTTTATCGTCCATTGTAAGTGAAAATGGTAATATTTACATTTTTAATTGCATCAAAAGTATAAACTCGATAGATTTGAGATAACGTTAAGAGTATGATAATTTCCAATGAGATTACAAGAAAGTTTGTATGAACCTAACAACTAATATGGGTTGCGGAACAGCTATATATTTATATGTGCAAACAAACGAACTATTGTCCATTTGTTTAGTCCATTTGTTTGAACAATTTGGAATGTTGTGGCTATGATCCATATTTATTTGGTTACCATTAACAAATCTGTCTCAAAACATATTCAATACATTGATTTTGCAACTTACTTGACACTTAAAGACGGCGACGCATTGCAATATCTTGTTAGGCTATAATTTCAGAAGAGAATTGGCAAAGGCTATTTTTATATAATTGTTTCATAATATGAACCTAAATTGGATTAAATGCATTTTGGAACATCGAACTTTCATTGAATTTGCATTTAAGTCACTAATTTTCAATTTGGCGTCAAACTTCAATTTGTTTGTCCAACTTTTATTAGTTTCCAGATCTGATCACTTTATGAATTGTCGTATTGCACAACAATGCATATCACTCATCTTTAAAATATTTATTTGAAAAAAAACTTTATTACATATTTATACGTTAGCTATTCATTGTTTTTAACACCGAAATTAGCATATTTTTCAGTTAAACTCACAATAGTAGACAAATTGATCAAATTTAAAAGCAAATGGATGTTGGATGAGTTGGTTATGCTAAATTGAAGACGAGTGACT